CTGCCTCTAGCAGTTTCGGTCCAGCTGTACATGCAAAGACTAGTCTGAATATTGTCACCAACAAGTGAAAGTACATGATAGCATACCCATTTTTTTTTTTTTCCTTTTTGAAGACTTTTTTTTTCCTTTTTTTTTTTTTTTTTTTTTTTTTTTTTATAGCTCTGCGTTGGCCTGGGACTTGCCCCGTGGTGGTCTCGAACTCAAGAGTCCTTGTCTTCTAAAGGCTAGGAGTAAAGGCTTTCTTACAAATGAATACTTTTCAGGTGACAGGTTGGGCACGAAAAAGAAGGCGTTAACACTATAAAACTTTGTGAAATCAAAGTATTTAAAATACTTTGTGTTTTAATTGGATAAACCATGCTTTGTATCTCTCCCACCACCATTTGATCTAAATATGAGTTGGATTTGTTTTGTTTTGTTGTCTTTCAAGACAGGGTTTTTCTGTAGCTGTCCTGATGGAACTCTCTGTAGATCAGACTAGCCTCAAACTCAAGAAATCCATTTGCCTGTGCCTCCCAAGTGCGAGAAATAAAGGTGTGCTCCACCATCCTGGCTTAAATGTGAGTTTAAGGATTCAATAGGGGAAAAGATTATTTCTGAAATAACCAGCTATTTGCTATTTCCTGTTGCAAATTAGGGGAAAAGTATATCTAAATGTAGGTATAGTTTAGAATGTGCCAAGTAATACTTTTAAATAGTTTATACTTAAAATTTAAAAGTCTTCCAGGAAACAAATGAACTTTGCCAATTAATTAGGAAGCAGAAATTGCCAAATATTTTTCTTCCTGAGTCTCTAGGTATGCAGTCCTTTCAATTTGAGACTCAGCAGTACGTGGGATGAATACATCCATTTGGCATCCCTGTCAACCTGCGTCAGGAGGTCAAGTTCAGACATATAATTGAAGAATCCCATGTGTGTCTATTGAATTCTCCAGAAGGCACACAGTGACTGCCAGCTTAGGAGTGTGTTATCACTAAGAGCACCATTGTGTATGTGGGGGGTAGGGGGGAGGGTTTCCAAGGGAGAATTGAACTAGATGAAAAAGATTCCAGTTGTTTTGTTTTTACAGAGTCTCTCTGTAGGTGTTTCTTTTTCCTCCATTTAATTCTAGCAATTTTTGAATACTGACAATACTAACTAAAAGTATTAAAACAGTAATTGTGATGCTTAGTTGTTATTTGGACACATTTTTAGCTATAAAACGTAAAAGAGGGAAAAATTTTTTTCCTTTGACTTTGCATTTTTTCTACTTGGGAGGTATGCTAGGGTCAACAGGTAATGTAGTAAATAAAGCCAGCCACTTAGACTAAAGGAAAAGCTAAAGAAAGTGAGAATCATGAATGGTTTTGTTGTTGTTGTTATTGTTGCTTATTTTGTTTTGTTTCCTGTTTATTTGGATTTTTGAGACAGGGTTTCTCTGTGTAGCCTTGGCTCTCCTGGACTCACTTTGTAGACCAGGCTGTCCTCAAACTCAACAGAGATCATCTTGCGGCCTGCCAGAGGCATTTGCCTTTGGGACCAGCTTACTCATGAATATTTTTTTAAAGAACTCAATTTTACTTTCTCTATAGACTTGGCCAAGTACTGGAGAGATGGCACAGTGGTTAAGAGACATCCAGAAGATGTGGGGGTGGTGCCCTGATATTCCAAATGGGTTAAAGTAGTCTGTTGAGTCTAGTCCTGGGGGATCTGACACCATTTTCTGATCTGCCTGGGCACTGCACACACATGGTACACAGACATTCATGCAGATGAAACACTCATATACAATATGTAAGTAAAAAAAAAAAAGTAGGCCAAGAAGAGGATGGATGAATAAATAGAAGCACAATTTAATCTCTTTGTTGTTTGTTTGTTTTGTTTTTCAGAGAGGGTTTCTCTGTGTAGCCTTGGCTATCTTGGACTCTTTGTAGACCAGGCTGGACTCGAACTCACAGAGATCCTCCTACCTCTGCCTCCCTGAGTGCTGGGATTACAAGCATGTGCCACTGAGTCTGGTTACAATTTAATCTTTCTAAAAGAATGTTTCCAGGACTGGGGAGATGTCTCAGTGGGTAAACCAGTTACTGTGTAAACCTGACAACCTGAGTTCATTCTCAGAACCTATGTAAAAAGCTAGAAGCTCTAATCTCAGAGCATGCCTAACAGGCTATGGGAGGTAGAGAATGGCCTGAAGGTCTTAGATCAGCTAACCTGGTATTATCTAGATAAAAGAGAAGGACTAACATCTCAGATTGTTCTCTGCCCCCCCACCTCCGAAGCTTTTAAATTTCTCTTAAGCCCTAAGGGGGGCTAGGTAGGAAGATCATGTGTTTGAAAGAAGCCTAAGCCACATAGTACAATCCTATCTACAGCAGCAAAGCCAGGGAGAGACAGATAGGACATTTATTATGGAAAGATGGGCTGAAGAGATGTCTCAGAGGTTAAGAACACTGTCTGCTCTTCCACAGGTCCTGAGTTCAAGTCCTAGCAATCACATGGTGGCTCATAACCATCTATAATGAGATCTGGTGCCCTCTTCTGGCATGCAGGCACACATGCAGCAAAATATTGTATTATGAAAAGATAATATTTTCTTAAAGTTAATTTTCTCTCTCTTTCTCTTTTATGAGATAGGGTTTCCCTTCATAGTCTTGCTGTCCTGAAGCTTACTTTTGATCAGATGACATCGAACTCACAGAGATCTGCCTGCCTCTGCTTCCTGAGTGGATCCATACAGATGCATGTCTACCTTATGCTTCAGTTTATAAACCAGGGTGATAGTTATGAATAAAAAAGAAAGTCTAAAGGTAGCAGGATGATTGTTATTTGAAAGTTTTCTGAAAAATACTGTGGGAGGGATAGGAGTGGGGGTGGGGCTGGAGAGATGGCTCAGCAGTTAAGAGCACTATCTGTTCTTCCAGAGGACCTAGCTTCAGTTCCTAGCACCTACATGATGGCTCACAACCATCTGTAACTACAGTTCCAGGGGAATTCAGTGTCCTCCTCTAGCTTCTGCAAACATCAGGCATGCATGTGCTGTGTATACATACACATCCATACACATAAAAAGAAACATGAAAATAAATCTTAAAAAAAAATCATGAACACAGTTTAGTACTTTCCTCAATTTATTGGATATAGGTAGTGGAATTTCTCTTTATGCCTTTGAGTTTCTTTAAGGAACTATTGAGGCATCAAAAGCAAAATTAGAGAAAGGTCACTCTTAGAGGAGTGACCCATGTGTAGCCCATGGGGCAGAACACAATTGAGCCCGCCTTAAGCTCCTTTTGTTAGCTAGCTACAAATCAAAACACCTTGGGCAACTTACTAGATTTTCACTACTTTTATTTTCTCATCTTTTAAACAATTACAGGAGGCTGGGGGTATAGTGCAATGGTACAGTGTTTGCCTAACATGGCCAGCTCCCTAGGTTCAAGTCCAGTACTGCCAAAAATGTAAGATAAATATGCCTTTCTGTGCCTCCCTGGTCTCTCAAAAAAACAACAACAAAAACAAAACAAAACAAAAAAACAAACAAACAAACAAACAAAAAAAAAAACCCAGGCAACAATATTTGGCATTTGAAATTCTATACCTATTTACTGCATTAACCCTTTCAGATCATAGTCTTTGTCTTATCCACCAGGTTGTACCATTACCTTGTGCCTAACAGTACTCAATACTGTTAGGCAATTAGAATGACTTAATGTTAAGAAATTATTATTATCTCGGGCTGTGATCCCAGCAGAAATATAAGGCTGAGTGAGACAAGATGCTCAGGAATTTGAGGCCAGCCAAAGCTACATAGGAAATAGTGTCTCAAAAAGCAAAACCAACAAAGGGCTAAGATGCGATTCAGTTGGAGGAGTGCTTGCCTAACATGCCTTGCTCCCATCCCTAGCACCTCAATAAAATTGACATTGTACTTAAAAAACACCCCATGAGTCCTAAAAGGTTGTCCTAGCACACAAGACAGAGAAACAGCTTGCAGAGGAAATTACAAACCTCCACTAGGCCGCAAAATGCTTCTTCTTTATCAGGAAAGTTGAGAAAGGTACCAGCTAAAAAGCAGAAGGATGCACAACCTGGCACAAAACTGGTGACTTTGGAGAGAGAAAGTCGCTCTGGAGCCAAGGTGACACATACCCACACCCATAAGGGGGCTACAGAAACCTCAAGGTCAGCTACACAAATTAGAGGCCAGTCTGGACAAAATGAGACTGGTTCTAGAAAACCAGCGCCACACCCACAAAAGAACTTAGCATTGTGCCTGAAACACATGGTTGTTAAACACATGGTCATTTAACTAATACATACGTTGTACTTACTATTAACAAATCTCTGTACAAAGCGTTTTACAAATTCTTTACGTATTTGGCCTTGTGCAAAAACTCCATTTTATCCACTAGCATTTAATATCTTGTCTCAAATTCACATAGCTAATAATTGCCAGGTGTAGGATTCAAAATCAAGTTCTTTCACACTAAATTATGCTGTCTCAGAAGAAGCTATTGTTAAAGATTCTATTTGGGGTGTAAAGTTGTGAGACGAACAAGGGCCCTATGGGCCGGGCGGAAGTTTTTCGTTTTCTATGCCAGTTTTGTCTTTGCATTCTGGGTTAGTATAGCATTTTTAGGCTTGGTTAGGAAACTTTAAGTGTAACCCAATACCAGCTATTCCTAATGCCTGGGTTTCTCCCACCAACTGCTCCTTTGTCTCTTCTTGGGCAAGACCGAGAGCGTGTAAGTGCAACCAGTGTGAAAGAGAGGCCTGCGGGTGTTCCAGAGTGCGTGGCATCCCAAGCACCAGGCCGCTTGCAGGCTCTCTCCCACGCCGGTCTTCCGGGCCAGTGTCCCGCGCCTCCTGCGCCCCCTCCTGCCCGGCATCTCCCTCGCTTGGTTGAGCCGCGCCCGGGCCTAGGAAAAGTTTCCAAACCTCGCTTCTTCTCGTTGATTGGCCAATTCGGATGCATCCCGAGCACAGCAACCAATGGGAGGCGCGGGCCGCGAGGTGTGGGCTAGGCTGGACCTGCTTAGGCCTTGCTAGCCCGCGCCTCGCTGGGACCGTCGCCGCCCTGGCAGGGTAAGTGGACCCAGGTTGCGGGCAGGGATCCGTCACGCCCGCAGCATTCACGGGCGCGACCCCCAAGCCTGCCCCCACCCCGAGTTTTCCACCTTTCATCCGCTGGTCCTGTCCAACTCTTCCTCTTCTGCTGGCCACTTCCCTTCCTCGAGAGTCCTCAAGACCAGTGCCCGCGCTGCCCCACTGACCCCGGGTCCCTTGGCCTGCCCTTCATCCCACAGTTCCCAGGTCCCCAGCTGCTGCCGCACGGGTATCGGCTTGTATCTAACCTCCTCCTCGGTGTCTCTTGAGTCTCGTCCGCGGGACTTTTCAGATTTCCCTAGACAGCACTTTGCATCGGTTAAACTTTATTCAATAAAGGGTGAGAGTGCTTACCTTGGATGTTGGCCCAGCTCACCTACTCTTTGAGGTGGGCAACCCGGAGTCACCTTGGCTCCAGAGCGATTTTCTCTCTCCTAAGTCATCAGTTTTGTGCCAGGCTGTGCATCCTTCTGCTTTTTAGCTGGTACCTTTCTCAACTTTCCTGATAAAGAAGAAGCATTTTGCGGCCTAGTGGAGGTTTGTAATTTCCTCTGCAAGCTGTTTCTCTGTCTTGTGTGCTAGGACAACCTTTTAGGACTCAGGTGGGGTGTTTTTTAAGTACAATCTAATACAAACTACTCCCAAAGCCTGAGGTTATTTAAGACCAGGAACCCTTCTTCACCACACTGGTTTTCAACCTGTTTTGAGGTTTAAGTAATTCCCCATAGCCCACCAAGTATAACTCTTTTAAAAATTCAGATGCAACCACATTTTCAACTCAAAAACACAGCTTTCACTTCAAACAGAAAATAGTTTAGTCTGCAACCCAGTATGAATTACAGTGGCTCAGGTGCAGATTCCGGTTTTCTCAAACACCATGCTCCACTGTTGTTACATGAGGTCTTACTGATTACACAACAACAACAAAATAATAATAATAAAATTATTTTATTATTTAAGGTAATAAATTTAGGTGTGTACCGACCACAGTGGTAGGGATCACAGTAGGGAAAACCCTAGTAGAATTAAGATTGGTGAAATCTAAAAGTCTGTTCAGAACACATTTTAGGTTTTGATACTTACAGTGTTAGGTCAAACACTGGTATGGGCAATGCATGGGTTTTAAATAGACAAAAAATATAGTACCAGATAATTTGGCTCTGATTTGCAACAGTTTAACTCTCTGTAATCTTGAAGTTCAGTCATTTGGTCTTGTAGAATCTTCAACATAGATAGGTCCAGCCAACCCTCCTTCTTTCCTTCCTTCCTTCCTTCCTTCCTTCCTTCCTTCCTTCCTTCCTTCCTTCCTTCCATCTTCCTTTTTTCCTCTTTTCCTCCTTCTGTCTGGAAACTCCAGTTCACAATATGTTACTCCAAATTTTATTTTTTAAATTTCTTTTACTAAAAAGTTTGTTGTAAAGAGTATGTCGGGTATAGGTTCAAGCTCAGTGCCTATTCCAGCTGCATTCTGGCCCTTTTCTCCAGTCTCTCTCTGTCCCTTGTTACAGAGAAGGAGACAATGGTTATTGTGATTGCTTCTACCTTAGTGCTTATAGTTCTTATTTAATAGCACTATAGTGTCCCAGTTGTCCTCTTCTCTCCCTTTGAGGACATGTCCTTTCATGTCTTCATACATAGGAAGCATGAAGACACGCTAGGCTTACTGACTGGTGTGTTTCACCACAAGTGACATCGTTTCTGTACACTCATACCATGTGTCCATCACCACACAGGTTGTGTGTGAATATTTAATGGATTTCTTTTTCCCTGCCTCTCTTTTTCAACTCTTTTGTTTGTTTACTTGGTTGGTTGGTTTGTTTGAGGGGTTTGTTTTAGGTTTTTTGAGACAGGGTTGTTTTAGGTTTTTTTGAGACAGGGTTTCCCTGTGTAGCCTTGGCTGTCCTGGAACTTGCACTGTAGATCAGGCTGGCGTTGAACTCAGAGATTCACCTGCCTCTACCTCCCAAGTTCTGGGATCAAAGGCGTGCACCACCACCGTACTTTCCATTCAGCTCTTGTTTTGATAGAGAAAGATATAAAACTGGGCTGGAGAAGGTTACTAGGCTAACTCACGTAATCCAAGTATTGCTGACCAGCTTTGTTCACTCAGGTGTCTTGAGTATTTTCAGACAGTTTTATGTTTCAACAAAACCAGTCCTAGGGACTGAGGAGATAACTCAGCCACTAAAGTTCTTATTTCAGAGTATGAGGATCTAAGTATTGTCCCCAGCACCTTTCTCCTCTTGCCTAGGGGCTGTCTCCCTGCTGGAGGGGCAGAAGGCTAGAAACTTGCCTGGAATGGCCTGGAGCATTGCGCGCCATACAGGGATCACAGCAGGGAGCTAATTCAACTTTAATTCCAGAGAACAAAGATTATATACCCCTTGGGGGGGGAGCTCCAAGGATAGGTGTACATAATTGGTTAGAACTAGACACTTTAAGGATGCTTGATTTACATTATATAGCACACTTCTATCATATGAATGGAAACAGTACCTAATTATCATATAGGTGCAGGGAGGGGAAGAGCTAGCTAGGAGCTCTGTCAGAGGCCATATATCAGATGTGGTTAGGGGTGTCTGTGTCTAAAGATACTCTCCAGATGAAATCAGGTAGAGAGCAAGAGGCCCTGCTGGGAAAGAGAGAGTCCTCATTTTAATGCTCATAATGGCTATCTGGACTAGGAGAACTACAACTTCAAACAGTAGGTTTTCTGCAACAAGCACCCACATAAAAAGATGGTGTGATGGTATACACCTCTGTAGCACTGGGCTACAGAGGCAGGAGGGCCCTGAGGCTTGTTGCCCAGCCAGAGTAGCAGAATTGTGAGCCTCAGGTTCAGTGAGAGAACTTGCCTCAAAAAAAAAAAAAAAAGAAAGAAAGATGGGAAGTGATAGATGAAGACGCCCGATGTCAACATCTGGCTCCGTATGTGCACGAACACCTACATATACACACAAAAAGTCTATGCTGAAATGAATTTTTAGAGGTGTAAAACCAAGTTATAGAAAACAGATGTATTTTAAAATTTATTTTTAAAATTTTGTATGGTATGTGTGTGGCCAGAAATCCATGGTAAGTATCTTCAATTGTTTTCCTTAATTAATTATTTGTTTGTTTAAGTCTCAGTGAACTTGAAACTCATTGATTGGGATAGGTTAGTTGACCAATGAGCTATAGGGATCCTGCCTATCTCTGTCTCCCAGCACTAGGGTCATAGAATACCAATCTGCAGCTTTTCACATGGGTAATTTTGGATTTGAACTCAGGTTCTCATGTTTGCATGAGATCCCTTTACTGGTTGAGCCATCTCTCCGGCCCTGTAAAACATATTTGTGTGGTCCTAAATGGGAGAGATGCTTTAGGCTGTGGTGAGATTTGTCCACATAGGCATAAGATTGAACCATGGAATTGAGAAGCAGTTTAACTACACATGAATAATATAAATGGATATCCTATTCCCTTAGTTTTTGTTAGTACTGGGAATTGGACCCATGTTTAATAGTTTAGTGCTCCTCTGACTGAGCTACATACCTGGATTTTTGTTTCAATTTCATTTTCAAGATAAGTTCTTAACAAGGGTCTTGCCAAGTTGTCTAGGCTGGACTCATACTTAAGAATCCTGCCTCACTTGCCTTAGTAGCTGAGATTGCAGGCATGGATCATCATTCCACTGTAGTATCAATTTTTAAGATAGGAGGCACAAAGCTGTGTGTACTGTAACCTGATATTAACTGGAATGGTATTTTTAAAATACTCTTGTCCCCACTGAACTCCTGCCAATCTATATGCAACTTTGCAGATCTTGAACTGGACTTCATAAAGATATCTTGCATTTGGGTCCAGTTGCTTCTACCACTCTTTGGTGGTATTAGAGGCACAGTAGCTACTGCTTGCTGCTGTGTCTGCTCCTCTGCCTTCCCCTTCTCCTTTTTTCCCTCCTCTTTTTTTTCTTTCTTCTTCTCTCTTCCCTTCTATTTCTCTTTTTCCTTTTCTTCATTCTTTTTTTTTCTTCATTACCAATGTCAGGGTTCATATGTCCCAGGCTGTCCTTCAACTGTCCTTGTGGAGAATGATCTTGAACTTTTGATCCACCTGCTTCTGTCTCCTAGGCGCTAAGATTACAGGCATGTTAGGGATGGAACCTAGGACTTCGTGCATGCTAGGCAAACATTGTACCAACTGAGTTACATCTAGGTCTCTGCTTCTCCTCTGAGCATCTTGCCCATCTCTTAGCATAGAACAGCCTAAAGAGGCTAATGCCTATTGAAAAATTATTACATAGTAAGCTTCAATAAATAACCCTGAAAGAAAGGACTCTTAAAAAAAAAGTAATAATTTATTTTATTTTATGTGTGAAGGTGTCAGATTCCTTGGAATTGGTGGTACAGACAGTTGTGAGCTGCCATGTGGGTGCTGGGAATTGAACCCGGCTCCATTTGGAAGAGCAGACAGTACTCTATAACCACTGAGCCATCTCTCCAGCCCCAAGAATGTCTCTTTATGAGACATTTTGAATACTTTCTGTGGTAGAGAGCAGTGCTATAGGACTTCATGAGACATTCCCAAATAAAAAGAAAAATCTTACATTTTGAAGATTGCAGTTTCATACTTAAGAGGTGTAGCTGTCACTTCTCTCTTTGCTTGTGGCATTTTCCTTCATTTAAAAATGCTTTTAGGATGCATATAGTTTTGATGGAAATGCCATTCCTGTGCTGTTTGTCTGTTAGTTAGTGTGACAGAGTTCTCAAGCTGAGTCCTGGTCCCTGCTCAGTTTCTCTGCAGTACCTGAGATTCAAATTCACAGATTCTTCTTCGTAATGAGAGCCTCTTCCTCCCATCTGTGAGAGCAAGAGCAGCACTCCCTTCCCTAACCCACACATACAACTTCCATCAGTTTCCTTCCTCAAGTTCAAGTTTTAAACTTCATTAGACAAGATAGTAGTGATTTTAGAAGCTATTTTTCTGCTGAGCACTGGGGCACATGCCTACAGTCCTAGCAATTAGAAGCTTGAAGCAAAAGGATCAAAAAAAAAAAGTCAGAATGAGATACATAATGAGTTCCAGGCAAGCTTGGGCTACATAAGTAAGACCATGTCTCAAAAAAAGAAGCCTTTTTCTCTCCTCTCTCCCCTGTCCTCTCCCCTTCCTCTCCTCTGTATGGGTTCATGTTCATTTGATCAGGCACATGTGGATATGGAGTTCCCCCCAACAGGATTTCTTGGCTTTCCTGGACTTATTTAGTAGACCAGGCTGGCCTTGATCTCATGGATATCTGCCTGTCTCTGCCTCCCCAAATTCTGGGATTACAAGCTTGCGCTTTGGCCCCCTGGCTGGAAGGGTCTTGTTTGTAGCATGTATACCAAGATAGCTGGCTTATGAGCTTCTGGGAATCCTGTCTCTGCCTCTTACTTTGCCGAGAGAACTGGGATTATAGACATGTGCTACCACATCTAATTTTACCTCTGTTCTGGGGCTCTGAACTCAGCTTCTCACACTTGCTCAGCAAGCTCTTTACCCACTGACCTGTCTCTCCAGCTCAGGAAGCCCCTTTCTAAAACTCCTCTGGCAGCAGTACTGGTGATGTTTATTAACTCATGGAGTGGATTCTTGGTTATAACCTTTAATCTAGTATAGCTGCCCTGGTGATGATTTTGACAGGATCCCATCTTTCTAGGTCCATTGGCAATATTTTCCTATTGGATCCCTTTTCAAGCAGGCTACTACTTGTGAGTTTCTAGCCATAGCTGTGCAGAAGACCTAGGTCTAGATACTTTGTTCAGCTATGGGTGGAGTCACAAAATGACACCTGAAAAGAGAAATAGTAGGAGGGAGAGAAGAGTGAAATGATTTTTTAAGCCAAAAATAGTGTTGGTTATGTCTTGAGTTATTTTCTGTGTTTGCACACTTGTGTATGTGTATTTTGTATTGCTATGAAAAAATACCCAACAACTTAAGGAAGGAAGGATTTACTCTGGCTCATAGTTCAAAGGGAAACAGTTAGTCATGGTGGCAGCAGTTTGAGGTGGCTGGTCATATTGCATCTGCAGTCAAGAAGCAGAGAGAGATCAATGCTGTTGCTCAGCTCACTTTCTCTCTCTCTCTCTTTTGGCCTCAAAATAGGTTCTCACTATGTAGCTCTGGCTGTCCTAGAACTCATTACATAGACCAGGCTGGTCTCAAACTCACAAAGATCCACTTTCATCTGCCTCCCAAATGCTGGAGGTTAAAGGCATGTGCTACTATACCTGGCTTCCATCTCTTTTATGCAGCATAGAACCAACCCATGGGATGGTGATGTCCATATTTAGGGTGGGTATCCTTGCTCTAATTAACTTATCTAGAAAATTCCACATAGACATGCCCAGAGGTTGTCTCCTAGGTGATCATTCATCTTGTTAGCTTGTCAATTAGTATTAATCAGCACATCCAGTGACCTCTTGATACATTGAGGGTGGTAAATGAGCAGATACCCAGGACACCCAGGACACCCAGGACACCCAGGACACCTCAGCAAGGAGTCTATGAACTGCCAATGGAAATTTGCTTCCCAGCCTTTTACTTTGAATAGCCCATAGCCTGCAGGTCCAGGGTCCTTCTTTCACCTCCACAGTTCATGCTCTGCAGTGTCCTTCCTGGACTTCCTCAGCTCCCCCATACTCCTAGTTACTTCACTATTGTCTGTGTATTTAATGTCCTCCTTTTCCTCATCCTTCTACATTCCTAGTCTAGTTTTCTTTGAGACAGGGTTCCAGACTGGCCTTGAACTTGTGACCTTCTTGCTTTAGCTCCTTGAATGTTGGGATGCCAGGGATACAATGCCCAACTCTTTTCCATCTCACATGTTCCTCATGTGTCATCTTGACTTTCGGGTTGAGGTGTGGACTCCCTGAGTGTTCGGATACTGCAGGAATGCATGTCCAGCACTGCTGTGGCTTCTCAGGGGCACGTCCATGTCCAAGTCCACCAGAGTAGCCACTCCACACTTATGTCATTGTCATGGGTCAGCATCTTGTGTAGAGTTCTGTCCCTGTGCTCACCTGGGACTTTGTAGTAATATACATGTAACTCACATCTCCTTCTCCCACTAGTCCCCCAGAGGAGCCAGGGATCTAGAAGATAGATATCTTTTTTTATCTGAGGGTCCTATGCTAGGTGATAATGTTTGTGGGGAGATACACTTAGGTCTTGGGCTGTAACTGGAGATAGGCTACTTTTTATTTGGATTTAGTTTTAGTTTTAGAGAGGCATGAAGTTCAGGGATTTTATGTTTTTTTGTTTTGTTTTAAGATTAAAGGCCAGCTATTACCCAGAAGTTGCTAATACTTTTTAAACTTTTCTCCTAGACATCATGCCACAGGAAGAGTGAGCTTTTGACCATTTTACTATGGAGGACTCAGGAAAGACTTTTGGATCAGAGGAGGAAGAGACACACTATTGGAGAGACCTGGCCATGACCTACAAGCAGAGGTCAGTCTGCAGTGTCCCTCACTGTTTTTTCCTGGGAGAGTGGTGGCTGCCATGTGTGTGGCCTATCACATGATGCTCCAGAAACAACACTGACCCAAGAAGAAACTAGAATCACCTTGATTTACAGAGGCCTCTGGGCCTTAGAGAACTCAGACAGTCTGCCTAAGGCAGCAGCTGTAAGAGGTAGAGTTAGGATTTGAACTATAGACTGAGGCACCTAACCATTCTAACATCTCAGTGTACATTCTGGATGCATCTTTATGTATGTCAGGTTTTCTGTGGCGGGGAGAAGATTTACCAGTGCCTATCAAAATAGGCTCTTGCTAGAGAGATGGCTCAAGGTTAAGAGTACTTACTGCATTTGTAGAGGATTTGGAGTTACTTTCCAGCACCCACATGGTAACTCACAACTATCCTTAACTCCAGTTCCAAGGGATCTTCTGGCCTCCTTGGGTACCAGGTTTGCATTTGGTCCACATATGTGCTTGTAGGCAAAACACTTGTACACATAAAATTGAAAAAAGATAAGCTCTTGAAACTTGTGTTTCGGTGCACACCTCTAAGAGTGGTGTGTGTATGTGTCTGTGTGTCTGTCTATCTGTCTGTCTCTGTGTGTGTGTGTCTGTGTGCCTATATCTGTGTGTTGGGTTCGGCACTGTATAGTTCAGGCTAGTCTTGAATTCTTGAGCTTCCTGTCTCAGCCTCCTGAACGCTAAGATTACAGTTGTATACTTCAATGCCAGCTCTCACAAACTGTCTTCTTGTCCATAAAATGGGAATAATGGTGGCTGAATAAAGTCATGATCCCTACACCCCACTTTGTGGCACAATACCCAGCATTATTAATTCTGTGATAGAATTATTTCCAATCCTACTACAGGGCAGAGAATACACAGGAGGAACTCCGAGAATTCCAGGAAGGAAGCCGGGAGTATGAAGCTGAATTGGAGACTCAGCTGCAGCAAATTGAAACAAGGAACCGGGACCTTTTGTCAGAGAATAATCGCCTTCGAATGGAGTTGGAGACTGTGAAGGTGAGGGGCCCTGAGGGACATGTCTACAGGTAGGCATGGCTTGTGGCAAGCAGGTGTTACATGGATGAAGAAGCAGTTCTGCAGGGTGAAGTGACTGTGTACCAGGCCCACTCCATCCCACAGTCTTGTCAGGTGTCTGTGGTCATTGTACTTTTTCTGCCCCTGTGTGTGGAAATCTGTGAAAAGCAGGACACACACATGGACTACCACCCTTTTAGGTGGTTCCTGTACTGATTTCACAAGGGACATGGCAAGGAGAGCTCTTCAGAGGCTGCAGTGTCAGAATTGCAACTTCTTGAGACTAGGTCAAGTAGCCCAGGCTCGCTATGACCAGCCTTGAATTTACTATGTAGGTGAGGGTGGCCTTGAACCCTGATTCTCTTGTATACACCTCATAAGTGCTAGGATTAAAGGTAGCACCATCATGCCTGGCTTTAGAATGTCTCCTGCTTTTATATTACAAGGTACAGTGTAGTATCTCTTAGCTACTTGTGGCTTCTGAAAGTTAATGAGGAAAAAAATAATTTTTCTACTAACATTAGCCACAGTTCAAGTGCTCTATAGCCATATGTGACTCATGGTTTTCACTTCTGGACACACAGACCATAGAACATCACCTTCTAGAACATTTTGTTGGACCATGTTAATAAGCACATTTATTAACTTGGCACTGCAGTTATTCTACCTGGACCTCATGTCTGTGACCTTATTTTCCAAGGTTTGGATTATTGGTGAGCAAACAAAATCCAAAAAGCATTAAATGGGAAATTTCAGGCATAAACAATTTATATGTTTTAAATAACTGTTTTAATGGTATAATATTATAATCATACCATTTTGTAATTATTGTTAATTTCTTAGTTTGTAAACTAAGCTATATCATAGGCAATCATGGGAATAACAAAGAATGTGTATGGTTTGGTAGTGTCTGAAAGTTTTGGGGATGTAGCAGAATGCCTTGCAATGTGTCCTCTCAGAGGAAGTCCTGTATTGCTTACTTGATCCTGGACAAGTGAGGGGCCAAGCAAGATAGTGAGTAGTATTTCTGGCTTTCATCTGCCCGAAACAAATAGCACTCCCAACTCCCGAAGTTGTACAAGTCAAAATTACGTCTGGTCTATCAGATGGCTCAGCTGGTGAAGGTGCCTGCATCAAGCCTGATGTCTGCAAGTTGTTCTCTGAGGCAACTTGTACCCATGGGAGTTCTCTCTTTCCATTATATGAGTCAGGTCATTGGGCTTAGTGGCAGTTGTCATCTTGCCAGCTCAGTTTCATGATTTGTTTGTTTGTTTTTGAGACAGGGTTTCTATGTAGTTTCGAGGTTTAAAAAATATATTTAATATCAGAAGCTAAGGTTTATGAAGCTTCCCAGAACAATTAGGATTTCTAACTTCCTTTAGGAGATGGAGAGCTGGCTTCATAAGGCCTGCAGTAGTCCATACCAATGGACAGCTGAACCTGTTCTGGTCACTGTATTCTGACACCAAAGACTGTCTCTTGCTCCTTGTTCTCTATAGGGTCCAAATTTCTTGTTGATCCTGGAAGTATTTTCATTTGACCCCAGGAACAGGCAATGAGAAATCATTCCAATTCTCACATTAAAGAGGCCTTGGGGCTGGAAGCTGTGGAGAGGAAGGTTTGTGATATGAACAATGGCTGGGGATAGTAAGGGGCCTTTCGTAGGTAAGGACTGCATGCATACCCTTCAGTTACTGAGTAATTACATACTTCAAGACTGAACCTTAAGCTTGCAGGAGACCTCTTCATTACAACCTCTGGCTAGAGCCATGAGGCTCAGCACAGAGAGGGAAAAACACTGGGAAGAGAACCTGCCACCTGTAGTTGCCTATCAATCACCTATGGCTGGTGTGTCAGCTGTCCATCAAGCCTTGAATTCAGCAGCCGGTAAAGTATCAAACAGCATTTACTGAGGCCTCCATCAGCTGACAGCTTTTCACAATTAGTCCCAGATGAAAGCTCAGTTCTCAGCAATTTTCATGTCCCAAATTCAAACTATTGACTCTATGCAGGCAGAGGATCTGGGTCTCTCCATCTTCTTGGATCTAGTTTCTTTTTGCTTAAATGCAGGCACTTGCTCTCTGATCCTTGCCAGGAAACCCCGACAGCCTTAGGATGTTGAAGGCCCCTTCCTGTTGTCATCTTTCAGATCATTTAACAGCCACTTTGGTCATTCTTCTTTCAAGGGGCCTGTCATCCTCCTTTCTAGCCTGGGCATTATGATATCACCTTCTGGCACAGCTGACTGATTCTCACAACAGCTTTATTTATTTTTTTTAATCTAGTTAGGAAGAGGAGCTAGCTCTTATTTTATTTTATTTTATCTTATTTTTTAACTTTCTTGACAGCCTGTATGATTGTTTGAATAGGAATGGCCCCATAGACTCATGTGTTTGAATGCTTGGCCCATAGATAGCAACACCATTAGGAAGTATGGCCTTGTTGAAGGAAGTGTGTCACTGTGGAGGCAGGCTTTGAGGTCCCATATGCTCAAGTTAGGCCTAGTGTGACAGTCTCCTTCTGCTGCCTGCAGATCCAAATGTAGAACTCTCAGCTCCTTCTCCAGCACCATGTCTGCCTGCATGCTACCATGCTTCTCACCATGATAATGAACTAAACCTCTGACACTGTAAGCCAGCCCCAATTAAATTTTTTTTGTTTTTTAAATAAGAGTTGTCATGGTCATGGTGTCTTGCCACAGCAAGAAACCATAAGTAAGTCCACCAGCAATAAAAATTGCTTAGTATCCTTTCTTTAACAGTACATGCTCTGAGCCAGGCTCAGTAGCACATGCCTGTAATCCCAGAATTTGAGAAGGCAGAAGCAGGTGGATCACTATGAGTTCAAGGCCAACCTGGTCTACAAAGTGAGTTCGGGACAGCCAAGGCTACACAGAGAAACCCTGTCTCAAAAAACAAACACACAAAAATTTTTAAAAAGAATACATGTTCTAGTGGCCTGGTCTTGACTGTGTTATTTGTTGCAGATCAACTTTGGGTCTTAATTTCCATATCTCTGGCATGGGATCAGAAGATTTAACCACATACCAGCACAAAGGCTGGCACACAGTAGGTTCATAAGGTTCACAGTAGGTTCATAACTGCTCCAAATGGGTAGTAGCTAACCAATGAGATGTCAGCTGGACTGTTTCTTGCTCTTGGAAAGCACTGGTCAATCAAACTGAGCTTCCCTTCCCTTCCCTTACACTGCTTGAGAGTGTCTTGAATTAAAAAGTTAGGACGGTTGTCATATTAAGTATCTGACATCTCCTTCTGTGAGGTACAAGCAACTAAAGTCATTCCTGCTGCTCTGCTCGTACAGTGCTCATGTGTGAAGCAGGGTCATATTGAGTTGTAGCTGAGGCCTAGGTGAATGCATGTGACTTTCTTTAGCTGTGGATTTATGTGAATGGTTTATTTGAAGGTCACTGGGCATTGAAAGGACCAGGTGAGCTTGGACAGGATCACAGGTGGCAGGTGCTGAGAGGACTGCCGGGCAATGCTTAGGAGAGTTGAGGCATGCATTCTTTGACTGACTGCCACATAACTCCCAGTGCCTTCTGCTGTCCTGCTTAGTTTTATGTCAAGCTGGAGTCATCTGAACGGCGGGAACCTCAACTGAGAAAATGTCTTCATAAGATCTGACTGTAAGGCATTTTCTTAATTAGTGATTATTGGGGAAGGCCCAGCCCATTGTGCATGGGGCCATTCCTGGGCTGGTGGTTCTGGGTTCTATAAAAATGCAGACTGGGGCTAGAGAGATGGTTCAGAGGTTACTGGCTGCTTTTCCAGAGGTCCTGAGTTCAATTCCCAGCAATCACATGGTTGCTCACAACCATCTATAATAAGATCTGGTGCCCTCTTCTGCATGAAGGTATACATGCGGACAGAACATTGTATACATAATAAAAATGCAGACTGAGCAAACAATGAGGAGCAAGCTAGTAAGCAGTTCCCCTCCATGGCCTCTGCATCGGCTCCTATCTCCAGGTTCCTGCCCTGCTTGCTGAGTTCCTATCCTGACTTCCTTTGATGATGAACAATGATGTGGAAGTGTAAGCCAAATAAAATCTTTCCTCCCCAAGTTTCTTTGCTCATGGTATTTCACATGAGCAAATAATAATAATAATAATAATAATAATAATAATAATAATAATAATAATAA